AAAACTTTCCAAAGCCAACGTGAACCTCTTGAAAGGAACATCATTTATCGTTGGTGAAATTTTGTGTTTGTGGTCAGTTCCATAAAAAAGCTTGCCACTCGGGCGCCTGGGTGGCTTAGTTGGTTAAACATCTGACTTTGGCTCAGGCCAAGATTCATGGTTCATGGGTTCGAGCCCCACATCAGGCTCTGCGCAGACAGCTCAGAGCCTGGAGCCTGCTTCCGATTCTGTGTCTCCCTCTCTCTCCGCCCCTCCCCCACTCGCGCTCTGACTCTCTCTCTCTTAAAAATTAATAAACATTACAAAAAAGCACTTGCCACTCATTATTTTATTAGCAATGTGATGTCTCTTGGAGGAATGGGAGGGAACTGCAGCATCTTTCTCTGGAACACACCTTTTCTCCTCTGTGCATGGCTTACGTGCACTGGATTTGAAGCCCTGAGGAACAGTTCTCCAGAAATGAGCCCAGTCTTGCAGAAGCTGACCTTGGGGATCTGTAGAGGTAGCTTGGACTTGTGTTATCAGGACGTGGTATAGTGTAGATGTGAAGCATGCGTGTCGAGTCCCAGCTCTGCTAGTAATTAGCAGTGGAAACTTGGCCAGGTGCCTACATTTTTGTACCCCGATATTCTCATCTCTAAACTAGGGATAATGATGGTAAAATATGCTTCATAGGCTTCTTGGGGGAGATTGAACAAGTTAATAACATTTAAACTGTGGAGAGCACTGCCTGACGCTTGGTGCACACTCAGCTGTGCTCCTCAGCGGTGACTGTCAAAGAGGTTGTGACCATGCCAAGCAGTGGCGAAGTCGTGTGCTCGAGTTTCGGTGTTGTCCGCTTGCCTTCCGAAAGCTGTCTCATATTCCCCCCTGGTCATGTTCAGAGACGCTTTTTAGTCAATTCCGTGTACATTCCTGCCTTTTGTGCTATCAGAAAGAAAGGAGTTGGAGATGGTTCAAAACCATGGGGAGGAGGCAAATGAGATAAAGTTTTCCATGTGGACAGAGTCAGGCCTTCTAAATGGTCTGTCTCTGATCCTCGGAGAAGCAGCTGCTCCTTCTCAGCGGGACCAGCCCGTGATCCCTGCTGGCAAAGTTGATGAGAGGCGAGTCTCAGTCTTGCCTTCTGACTCCGCTCGTGAGTTCTGCTCAGCCTCACTCTCACCTGCACCGCCTTCTACTCACACTCCTCCTGCCGGTGTCTGGATGGCCTCTCCGGTGATTTCTTGGCGACCCTTAGAGTTTAAGTAGAACATGCACAGGGACACATGTGCAGTGTGTGCAGTGTGCTAAATTATTGCAGAGTCAACACGCCAACTAGATAAAGACGTTGAGCCTTACCAGCACCCAATATGCTCCCTTCGTGTTTCCTCCCAAGCATCACCTCCTCCAGAGGTTACCACCCGTCCCAACTTGCCTCACAACAGATTTATTGTGCCTGTTTTATTACGTTCTGGGTAACTGGAACCATACAGCAGGTAGTCTCTTGAGCTTGGCTTCCTTTGCTTAATATCTGTGAGATTCCTCTGTGTTGTTGAAAGCGGCAATCCTTTCTTTTCCATTGATATATAGAACTCCCTCGTATAAGATTTTTCTTTTTTTTTTAGAGAGAGGGAGAGAGTGCATGTGGGGGAGAAGGACACAGGGAGAGACAGAGAGAGAGAGGGAGAGAGACAGAGAGAGAGAGAGAGAGAGAGAGAGAGAGAGAGAATCTCATGCAGGTGCCACACTCAGCATGGAGCCCAAGGCAGGGCTTGATCCCATGACCCTAGGAACATGACCTGAGCAGAGATCAAGAGTCTGATGCTCAACCAGTTGAGCTACCCAGGTGCCCCATCCATTATATACATTTTTTCATGCAGCCTACTTATTCATTCATCTATTCTCCCTTGATGGACATTTGAGTTTTCCTCAGTTTTGGACTATCATGAATAATGGTGCCATGAACATATCCTTTGGCAAATATATGTAGGCATCTTTGTTGGGTATGCATCTATGACTGCAATTGAAGGGTCACAAGGTATGCTTACCTTCAGCTTTAATGAATATTGTCTAATGCTTGTCCAAACAGTTGAAAATTTATATCACCACTAGAAATATATGAGCATTCCTTTGTAGAACATCCTCACCAATGCTTAGATTACTTTTTGGACTATGTGTAACAGTATCTCATTGTGGCTTCAATTTGCATTTCTCTGATGATTAAGCCTTTGATTGTGTGCCTTTTTAGATGTTTTTTGGCCCTTTGGATATCTCTTTTTGTGAAGTTCCTGTTTACATCATTTGCTCAATTTTATTTTAAATGAGAGAGAGAGAGAGAGGGAGAGGGAGAGAAGAGTGCATGAACAGCGGAAGGGCAGAGAGAGGGACAGTGAGGGAGGAGAGAGAGAATCCCAAGCAGGCTCCCTGCTCAGCACAGAGCCTGATATGGGGCTTAGTCTCATGCCTGTGAGATCATGACCTGAGCTGAAATCAAGAGGTGGACGCTTAACTGACACAGCCACCCAGACATCCCTATTTTCTCAATTTTTAAATTGGGTTGCTAGTCTGTATCTTATCATAAGATTTTCTTTATATATCCTGGATATGAGCCCTTTGCTAGATATGTTTGCTACACCTATCTTCTCCTACTTTGTGGTTTACTTTTTCACTTTTCTGTGCAATCTTATAGAAACTTTATTGTTTCATCTTTCTCATTTGGGTTTTCACTACCCCTAGAATTGTTCACTTTATTTCTGGAATTTCAAGTCTAGTCCATTGATCATTATACGTCTAGTCCTATGCCAGTACCACACTGTTTTGATTACTGTACCTTTTTTTTTTTTGATTATGTAGATTTTGAAATTTGAAAGTGTGCTCCCTCCAGACTTGTCCTTCTTTTTCAAGATTGTGTCAGCTACTTAAGGTTTTTTGTAATTCCCTATGAATTTGTGGACCAATTTGTCTATTTCTGGAAAAAGGCAGTTGGAATTTTGATAGGAATCACATTGAATCTGTAAATGAACTTGGGGAACATTGCCATATTGACAACATTAGCTCTTTCTATCCATGAACTTTCCATAATTTAGATTTTTAATTTTGTCCAAGAAAGTATTGTTTCCCACGTTTGAGTTTTACACCTTTTTTGGTGACTTTTTTCTTTTGTAGTTTTCTTTTCAATACTATTGTAAATGGGATTGTTTTCTTAATTTCATTTTTGAATTGTTCATTGCTAGTATATACAAATATAACTGCTTTTTGAATATTGATTGTGTATCCTGTAACCTTGCTGAACTTGTTTATTAACGCTAATAGATTTTGTTGTTGTTGTTGATTCTTTAGGATTTACATAAGATCATGTCACCTACAAATAGATAACAGTTTATCTTCTTTTCCAGTAGGATAGCTTTTATCTCTTTTCTTCATAAGATTTAGTTCATTTTCTTGACTGAAGGATTTCCGGATTATCGTAAGCCTTTGGTTAATTCCCAGAGTTCTGAAAAAGTTGAGTTTTGAGAAATTTTGCCTGTCTTTTTATTTTTTTATTGCTTTTACGGAGGAACAAACTTTTGGAGGTCTTTACTCCTTCCTTTTTTGCTGATGTCACCTCAGGACTTTAACTGGAACATTTGTTTTATTTCCATTTTAGGTAACTATGGCCATCTTATAATTTGTTCTCTATTTGTGTCATCTGTTTTACATTTCTTTTTCTCTCCCTTCTTCCCTCCTTTTGTATGAATCAAATATTTTTATTATCCAATTTCTCCCTTTCCATTAGTTTGTTAGTTTTATATTCTTGGACTTTTACACTTGAATATAAATGAATATTTTTATTAGTTTTCAGACAATGTTATCACCTTAAAACACTAATTTTCTTTATACCTCTCATGCCATTTGTGCTATTACAGTATTCATGAATTTTTATTCTACATGTATTTTAGTTTCCATAAGTCATCATTATTGTTTGGTGCAATTAATATTTGTTTACATTTACCCACATGTATGGCTTTTTGCCTAGGTCTTCTTTGTTTCTGGTTTGAAAAATATTTCACTGGGTATAGAATTCTAGGTTGTGAGCTATTTGCTTTCGGGACTTTGAAAATCATTCCATTGTTTTTGAATTCCATTGTTTCTATTAGAAAACTAACTGTCAGTCTCATTGATGCTCCTTTGAAGGTCATATGTCTTCCTCGCTCTGGCTGCTTCCAGAACTTTTTTTGTTTTTTGTTTTCCATAATTTTCATAAAATTCCAAAATTTTAATTTCCGTTATTTACTAAAGATGCTATCAATGCTCCACATGTTTTCCCTTGGGTCCTTCCACCAATAGGTGATCAGATTGAGATCAAAGTAGAGACATACCCAATGACAAAAGCATTACAAGACTTCTCATATTAATAAGTTTGAAATAGCATCAGTTAAGGTTTATTTCCATGTGAACATTACATCCTGTAGTTCTAGAGAGATGATGAGCCAAGTCCAGTTCTTGACATATAATTAGTGCTTGGTAAGCATTTCTACAAATGTTTCAGTAAATGTTTCAATGAATGAATGAATGAATGAGTGATTGGATGGAAGAATCAGACCAAATTGGGGATCAGACCACATTGCAGATCGGTGGACTTCAGCTTTTCATCTGACAGTCATCTAGTTTTCTTGTACAGGTCCCTGAAATGCAATTTGGACCGTTTTCTCCAGGTCACTTGCTTCACCTGTACGGGAGGGCATAGATGTGAAGCATCTTTAGGCTTTCTTGTAGCTCGGCAGGTGTGCCAGATGTCTGGAAAGAAAGCCTCTCTGTGCACAGAACTCTGCAATCAACCATCTCAGCGGCTTCTGAGCTTGTCTCAGGGCTTCCAGAGAGAAACTTGCCTAATTTGTAAGATTTTCTCTATGATCTCCTCACCTCTGGGAGTAAGGAGACAACGCTGGCTGCCTTGCTCCACCCTAGATCAGACATTTCCTGTGCTCCCACAGCTCTGAGTCAGCACCTCTGCTGTGTCACACAGCTGCACAGCCATCCTCATGTGCTGCCGTCTTCACCTCTGCATGGCTCCCCAGTGCCTGGTGTGATGTCTGACACATGGCGGGCACTCAGTGTGTCATAAAGGAAGAAATGATGTTACTATGTAGCTTCTGTGAAGGGAGGAGCTCCACAGTTCAGTGTTTTCATCAGATGGAAACTTCTTTCTCTTCTCAAGAGGTAGTTTGTATGTAATGGTGGGAAAGAGATTGCTTTTGTTTTGTTTTTGGTTTTTTTTCCCCTTCGGTGCAAAAAGGTGGTTTTATTAAAGCATGGAAATGACTGCTTTAAAAAGAAAGGGAACCAGAACTGCTTAATAGCTCTTTCTTGCATGTAAAGTACTGACTTACGGAGAAAGGGGAGAAGGTGCTTGGCTCAGCTGCCTTCCTCTGATTATACTCTTCCTCATCCCTTCCATGCCCTGCATTCCTGCTCTGGACACCAGGTATCTCATACTCAGGAGGCAAATGGGTTCCTGTACTTATTTGGGAGAGGGCTGTGTGCAGGTGCGACTCGGGGCCAGCTTGGGCTCTTGTCAGCTCACCCAAGAGAGCTCACCCAGCCCCTTATTTGCAGCCTTTAGCAGCGCCTGTTCCTCTTTTGGCTTCTTGCATTTTCCTTGTTCCGGTCCCCTGACAACCTGTGAGACCCATCTGCCCCATCAGTTCAGCCTACCCGAGGTAACCTGGTGGCTGTCTGTCACCTACTTTTCAAGTAGGAAGTCCTCTGATTGGCAGCCTTTCCCTACATCCATTTTCCTCCAACTTGCCTCATTTGAGGAAAAGACAGTGTGGTTTTCAACTTCAGGCCTCCAGCTACCCCCATCCACACGAATGACCCTTGGTAATCAGTGACAAGGATTCCTCAACTGTAACAACTATAACAGCACCATACAGGTGAATGCTTCTGGCCCCCGGCTTCAAACCTGGACCTCATGGTCCACTAACTGAGGCACGTTAGGACAGAAACCTGTCTTGGCCTCTGTTTCTCCATCTGGATATTGGGAGCTTATGCCATTGCCATGGATAATAAGTGAGATGATACATGTGATGGGCATAGCAGAGAGCCAAACTCAATACATGGTAATCGCTGTTATCTCTACGGCCTCTGAGACACAGTATGTATTTAATATCTACCTCCTCCTTTCTCTCTGACCTAGAGGTGTTTGATAACAAGTCATATTCTCATTTCTCTCTTTATTTCAGGAATCCCAGGAAGAATGTAAGTGCGAAAGTCATTTCTTCTGATGCTCCCAGCATCACGTGTTTCGCAGCCAAGGTTACCAGCAGGGGCCTCATGGAAAAACCATTACACTCTTTTGGGAACTCTTTCTTAATTTGTTATTTGCTGAACTAAAAGGTTCTTCGTTCCTGGGATTGACTACATTTCACATAAATTGTGGATGTACTTCTTTTAAATAAAAAGAGATGTTTCCTTTGGAGACCAACAGCCGTGATATTATGGGGCCATTGTATGAGTCTTCATAGAAAATGAAGGTCCCTCCCTGGGCCATGGCTGCTGTGTCATGACTGCTGTTTGCAAAAGGAGGAAATAACACCAAATATGAAAAACGAAAAGTCATTGAGGGATTAACATAGGGTGAAACCCCTTTTGTCATTCAGTAGGTCACACTCTGAAAAACCATGGTTTATTACAATGATTGTTATTCCACTTTAGAATTCTGAGAATTAGTGACAAAGAAATGTCAGAGCCTGTGCCTCTTTGTGTCAAATCATGATTTTTGTGATGTTTGTAATCTTGATCTTCCTCAGATAGTGAGAGAAACCACACCACCCATTAAAGACTCTTTTATTTTCTCCCTCCAATTAAGCAAAGACTTTAGATTTTAGATTCTTACATGCTTTTCTTGACTTCTTAAAAAAGGATTTTTAGGATGATTTGTTGAAGCCAGTGGCTTAGATCTCCCATGGGAGGGAGTGGCAGGGGGTGTGGACTTTGGTTTAACCCTTTCTTAAGTGGCACAACCTTTCCTGTGGTCCTGGTCCCTATTGGAGCTGCTAGTTTATGTCAAGCATTGCCAGCACCTAAAACCAAACAGTTCTAAATGATTGCATAACCAAACCAATGGGAAGACATTCCTGTGCCAAAGGTACCTGGGGCCACTTGGCACAACCATGGAGTAGCAAAAGATGGCCAGTGAGTCACTACTCTGTGTGTGCATGAGTGTATGTGTGTGCGTGTGCGTGCGTGCATGCTTTAGGGGACCAACAGTTATTTTGCGGCTCTGTGTGGGTCCCTGGGCCCTGGGGAAGCACCACTGCAATGTAATTTATGGACAAGCTCTGAAGTCTGATTGGTTTGGAATCCAGTCCCAATTCCCCTCTTGGGGGCAGTGTGATGGTGGGAAAAGGACAGAGCTTCCCTCCTCCCATTCTATGAAATGGAGATGATGACACCAGTTGCTACTCCCCAGGGCTTCAGTGAAGATTAAACATGATCATGCATATAAAACAGCCAGCACAGGCCTGTACCATGCACGCATCACTACCATCTGTATCCGTTTCTATTTCTCATATAACAAACCACCACAGACCCTGTGACCTAAAACAATACATGTTTATTTTCTTACAGTTGGAGGTCAGAAGGGCAACATGGGTCTGACCAAGTGGAAATCAGGATGTTGGCAGGGCTGTGTTCCTTTCTGGAGGGTCTAAGGTAGAATCTGCTTCCTTACTCATTGTGGGCTGTTGACAGAACCCAGTTCCTTGTGGTTGTAGGACTGAACCCCCTGTTTTCTTGCTGGCTATAAAGCGAGGGCCGTTCCCGGCTTCTAAAGGCTGCTGATCCCTTGACTTGTGACGTCTTCTTCTATCTCAAAGCCAGCAATGGTGGACTGAGTCCTTCTCACATCACATCCCCAGTAACTCTTTGCATCCCTCTTTTGTTTTTATTTTTTAAAAATTTTTAAATTTTTATTTTTTTTCTTTTATTTTAGAGCGAGAGAGAGTGTGTGTGAGCAGGGGAGAGAGACAGAGGGAGAGAGAGAGAGAAGAGCTTAAGCAGGTGCCACACTTAATGCGAAGCCCAACATAGGGCTCGATCCCATGACCCTGGGGAGCATGACCTGAGCTGAAATCAAGAGTCAGATGCTTTATCAACTGAGCTCTCCAGGCGCCCCCCTGTTTTGTTTTTAATAGCTCCTGTGACTATATTGGGTCCTCCCAGATGTGATTAGCAACCTTAAATCCTGCATTTTTCCATGTTGTCATATTCAAGGTTCTGGGAATTAGGAGGTGGGCAGCTTTGTGGACTGTTATTCTCCTAGCACACCATCATTGCTAACAAACCCACCCAGGGGTTTGTTTAAAGGGGGTAGATGTCCACAGGACTCAGCGTGTAGAGGAGCACAGATACTCAGCGATCGGGGGCTTTTTGAAACCAGCAGAATAGACAATGTTGGGGCCTGTGCTGGAGGTGGGGAGTGTGGGGATGGGAATCAGAGGCAGGAGTCTGAGGCACAAGTGGGAACTGAGTAAAGCCGGTCTTTCTGGCCTACATCCTCCATGCTGCCCATCACTCCAGCTTTGCACACACTTCTCACCTTGCTCCCCCCACTTTTTTTTTTTTTAATTTTATTTTTTTTTCAACAATTATTTATTTTGGGGACAGAGAGAGACAGAGCATGAACGGGCGAGGGGCAGAGAGAGAGGGAGACACAGAATCGGAAACAGGCTCCAGGCTCCGAGCCATCAGCCCAGAGCCCGACGCGGGGCTCGAACTCACGGACCGCGAGATCGTGACCTGGCTGAAGTCGGACGCTTAACCGACTGCGCCACCCAGGCGCCCCGCTCCCCCCACTTTTAATGCCCTCCTGGCCTTTGTCTTGGGAGGAGGTAGTGTTGCTGTTCTTTATAGTGGTTCTGCTTAGGGCCAGCCTTGTAATGGCTGCTTTGTCTATACCACTTCACAGCCTGTCTACATTCACACAGGCTAGTATGCTTAACCTCAGATTATGCAGTACATTAGTTAAGGTTGTGATGGCTCAGGCAATAAACAGGGATTTACTGGAGGGCTGTGGAGCTCATTTCCAGATTCTTGGGGAAAGCTGAAACCAGCAGGCCTCGGTAGGAGCAGGTGTCTGAGGCCTTGAGGAGCCTTGTGGCACAATGACAGGCCTTCCAGCTAGAATGCTGCCGGGAGCCTGCCTGGGGTCCAGGAGGTCCCTGGCTAGGAGCTGCGCCAGTCCCTGCATATTCCAGGAGTGGGACCTGACAGCCATGCCCTTAACATGTTCATGTGAGGCTTTTAGACACTTCTGAATCTGGTTCAGAAGCAGATAAAGCTTGGGCTTGTACTGGGATTCCCGTGAGAACAATTCATACAGTGAAAAGGAAGGTTTGCTACTGGCTAGTTGTCATACTGTGAAGGTGGTTGGCCAGATGTTTCTCCCCAAATTCCATCAGCTATGGCCAGAGAATGGGTCACAGAGCCCCTGACCCCTGGGGGAGATGGTGTGACTGGGCAGCCACCCCAGTGATGACTACCCTACAGCTAGTGAGGGGGGCGGTTGTTAAAATTTAAAACTTTTCAAGAAGTTGAGCCCCCACCCCCCAGCTCAACTTCTTCCACAATTTTGTTGTCCAGAGGAAAGTCAGTGTGATAGGCTGCTGTCCCCTTATTAACTAAGCTTCTGGGGCTTCCAACTAGTATTTTCATCATGAAGATGACCGTAGGAAGAGGCATCTGATGCAGGTGGGGTTCCTGACTCTGGGGCTGCTGGGGGGTGGGTGGGTAGGTACCGTGCCTAACTTGTTACCACAGTAGATGAACCATGGTCAACTTTCCCTACAGGAAGGTTCAGGAGGAGGGAAGATCCCGGTTGTGGTGCAAGAGAGCTGGTGGACACTAGCCTGCAGCTGCCCCCAACACAAGGTGGGCAAATCTGGACACCGACTACATGACTAGATTGAATATAAAAACAAATTTCCTGGAGATGGGATTGTGCAGGCTCTTCTGGACTGAGAAGAAATAGCATTTTTTGTTTGTTTCTTTAATTTGACGCTAAAAAGGGGGCAAACATAGCCAGAGGTAGAGGAAGGTGAGGAGAGGGCTGTCTGAAGAAGCCTGGAAATCTGGTGCTAGCTGAATCGACCTGGGTTCAAGAGCCACCACAGCATATGGAACACTTTGCCCTAAAGGGAAGTATGTGTGTAGGGGGCTGGCTTAGTCCCTTCATTTTGGCACCAGTAAAAACGGTGTTTCTGTACATTTAGGTGGTGAGATGCAAAGAGATGTGGGTCCAGAACCCACCCCCTAGGTGGCTGGAATGATGCATCCCCAGGCTGGTTGTCATGGCATGGACTTCACTGCTCAGTCCTGGGCCATTCTGGAAGGACGTGCAGATAGCTTAGCTGGCATCTTTATGTGTGAAAGTTGACTCATTGGACACACACACACACACACACACACACGCACAGAAAAGGGCATGATTAGGAAATACGAGTCATCTAGAGGAGTCTGAGATTGAGTACAGAAGGTGGACAAATTATAAATCTACAAAGTATGCTTATTTCAAAGAACTACCAATATCGCGCTCTTAGTAAGTGTCAGGCTCAGGGCCAGGTGCCCTCTGTGCAGCAGTGCACTTAACATGTTACAAAATCCTGAAAATATTTCCCCCATTACCAATGAGAAAACCAAGAGGTAGGAAGGTGAAGAGTGGAGGGTGTTGTTAAAAGTCCTACAGCTTGTAAGTGGTAGAACCGAAGCAGAGCCTTTGTTGGGCACAAGGAAGAGATGACCTTAAGATACAGCACAAAGGATTTAGGTTAGAAATGATGCTGAATTGGGGAAAATAAAGCTCACAGCAAGCCTTTGCAGTGGGCCATCTTCTAGATGCCTTTAGAAAAGGCATGGGATGACATTTGCAATAACTGAAAGATGGAAGCAACCCTAAGGTCCATCCACAAATGAACGAATAAACAAAATGTAGTATATACACAGAATAGGATATTATTCAGCCTTGAAAAGGAAAGAAAGTTTGAAACCTGCTGCAATATGGGTGAGTCTTGAGGGCATAAATAAGCCAGTCAGGAAAAGAGAGATCCTGTATGATTCCGCTTACGTAAGAGCTACCTAGAGTAGTTGAATTCATAAAGACAGAAAGTAGAACTGTGTTGCTGGGGGCTGGGAGCAGGGCAGGGATGCAGGGAGTGACTGTGTAATGGGTCCAGAGTTTCACTTGGGATGATGGGAAGAGTTCTCTGGGTCGATGGAGGGATGGTGCGCAATAACATGAATGTACTCAATGCTACTGAACAGTACCCATCAAA